GTTCATGCAACTCGAGACCAAAAAAAATAAAAAGCCAAATTAAAAAATGGGCAGAAGACTGAAACATACATTTTTCAAAGAGGAAATGCAAATAGCCTACAGGCACATGAAAAGATGCTCAACAACACTGATCACCAGGGAACCACAAATCAAAAACCAAAATGAGATATCACCGAACACCTGTCAGAATTGTTATCATCAAAAAGAACACAAATAACAAACACTGGCCAGGATACAGAGAAAAGGGAAACCTCATACAATGTTGGTGAAATGTAAATTAGTGCAGCTGCTGTGGAAAACAGTAGGGATGTTTCTCAAAAAACTAAAATCAGAAATACCCAATAATTCTACTCCTGGGTATATATCTGAAAAAACAAAAATACTAATTTGAAAAGATACATGTAATAATCAAAGCAACACTATTTACAGTTGCCAAGATACGGAAACAACTTAAGTGTCTGTCAACAGATGAATGGATAAAGATGTGGTATGTAGAATGCTAATAGAACACTACACAGCCATAAAAAAGAATAAAATTTTGCCATTTGTGACAACATGGATGGATTTGGGGGGTATCATGCTAAATGAAATAAGACAGGAACATAAATACTGTATGATGTCACTTTTATGTAGAAACTAAAAAATATAAGAAACTAGTGAATATAACAAAAAAGGAGATGCACAGATATGGAGAACAAGCTAGTGGTTATGAGTGGAGAGAGGAGGGAAAGAGGGAGGGGAAATATAGGGGTAGGAAATCAAGAGGTGCAAACTATTTCATATAAAATAAGTTACAAGAATATATTTTACTACATGGAGAACATAGCCAATATTTTATAATAAATAAAACAGAATATAACTTTTTAAATCATAAACTGCTATATTATATACCTGTGAGCTATATAATATACATCAACTATAATTTGATTTGAAAAAACTTAGGGAGTTTTTGTTAGGTTGTATTCTATTATGAAAGTTGGAAACATGTCATATTAAAAAATCAAAATACATGGCCATAGTTGGGTCCAATTATTTTTATTTAAGAAATAAAATGCTATAGAGAGTATTAAAGCTTTCTACATAACCATCTCAACCCCATTCTCTTCTCTTATCCCTGCACCAAAGCTAAGCACTATCTTCAAGTAGGTGGGTATTACCCTTACACATGATTTTATCCAGAAATAAATAGCATTTTTGTATAAATGTATTATTCTGCATATTTTATTCTGTAACTTGTATTTTTCCTTGATATTGGTTTTGAGGATTATTCATGTCAATTTGTGTAGCTTTAGTTCATTATTTTACTTCTTCATGGTATTTTATTGTATAAATACTCTATGACTCATTCATTCATTCTCAGAAATAAACCCACACACCTTTGGTCAATAATCTTTGACAAAGAGAGAATGTACAACAGGAAAAAGACTGTCTCTTCAGCAAGTGGTGTTGGTAAAGTTGGACAGCCACATGGAAATCAATAAAATTAGAATACACCCTCATATCATCTCAAAATGGCTTAAAGAATTAAATATAAGACATGACACCATAAGACTCCTAGGCAAACATTCTTTGACATAATTCATAGGAGTGTTTTATTAGGTCAGTTTTCCAAGACAATAGAAGTAAAAGCAAAAATTAAAAAATAGGACTAACCAAACTCACAAGCTTTTGTACAACAAAGGAAACCATAAACAAAATGAAAAGACAACATACAGAATGGGAGAAAATATTTGCAAATGATGCAAGAGACAAGGGATTAATCTCTAAAATATACAAACAATTCATACAACTCAACAACAAAAACCAAACAACCCAACCAAAAAAATAGGCAGAAGACCTAAATAGATAAATCTCCAAAGACATACAAATGGCCAACAGGCACATGAAAAGATGTTCATCATCACTAATTATCAAAGAAATGCAAATCAAAACTAACATGTGGAGCTAAGAGAATGTTCCTACACTGTTGTGGGAATGTATGTCGGTGCAGCCACGATCGAAAACAGTATGGAAGTTCCTTAAAAGACTAAAAATAACTGCTATATGATCCAGCAATCCCACATCTAGGCATATATTCAGACAAAACTACAATTCAAAAAGATGCACTGTTGTGTTTATAGAAGAACTATTTACAATAGCCAAGATAAGAAAACAACCTAAAATGTCTATCAACAGATGGATGGATAAAGAAGATATGGTACATACACACAATGAAATACTACTCAGCCATAACAAATAAATAATGAAATAATGCCATTTGCAGCAACATGGATGGACTGTGAAATTATCATAGTAAGTGAAGTAAATCAGAAAGAGAAATACAAATACCATATGTTATAACTTACATGTGGAATCTAAACTAGGATACACATGAACTTATCTACAAAATAGAAACAGACTTACAAACATAAAGAACAAACTTGTGGTTGCCAAGAGGAGGAGTATGGGGGAGAAAGGAATTGAAGTGTGAAATTAGCAGATAGAAACTATCATATATAGAATGAAAAAACAACAAGGTCCTACTGTATAGAAAAAGGAGCTATATTCAATATCCTCTAATAAAACATAATGGAAAAGAATATACAAAATATATGTGTGTGTGTATAGCTAGAGTCCATGGGGCCACAAAGAGTCAGACACAACTGAGTGACTAACACTTTCACTTTCAGAGCAAAAATTAACACAACATAGTAAATCAACTACACTTCAATTTAAAGAATTCTAACTTCTCCAATTAATAATGACCTATGGAACCAAAATATATTACACATTAGTCACATTTTTATTGATACTATCCTTTTGATTTAGAACAATTATTGCCTTTCTGAAAGCTAAATATTTTTTAATCAAATAACATTTTTACTGATACTATCCCTTTGCTTTAGAGTCATTGTTACCTTCCTGAAAGCTAAATTTTTCTTTAATCAAATAACATGTATAAAGTTTGGCTTATTACTTGAACATGTGCCTTAAAATCACTGTTTATGGGATTTTAATAAAATATTTATATTTTCACATTGCATATGTGTTCCCTTGTTACTTGGAATTGTGTTTTGTTTTTTGTTATTGGGCACTTTGAAGGGTTTTTTTCTTTTTCTTTTTTTTGAGTATGTAAAATGCAACAGACTACATAAAGTGATTCTTTTTACTTATGAACATTGTCACCACTGTTAAAGATAACTTGGAGAAAATGATAAAGCTTTGATTTGAAGTTTTCAGTAAAAATGCCAAGATTTTAGCAACTTGGGGAAATTACTCCTCCTCATCCTATTTAGAATAAGGAAATGGAAAAATGTTCTGCTAGAGAACTCATTTATAATTTGCTGTATATTTGCATTTGTATATTGCATTTTCTCAATTCCATTAATATATGGTTACACAGCTCTAATTTAAAGCTAAGAGCTTTTATTTACTAGGAAACAAATTCTTAGTAGTATCATATAAGCATCAGTTTTCTTATTATAGATACAAAAAAATTACTTTAAATATAATGGTAACTCAGGTAAAACATATCAGTCACATCAATGTTAGAAAGTGTTGCTTTTAAAAGTTTTTCTTCCCTTTTAAAAGTAATGAATTTAAACAGGATTTGTATAATAATAACCACATTTATATAGCACTACTTAAAATATTTTCCACCTATTATCTCAATTCTCATGTAAACTCTCTAAGTTAATAACTTTTATAATCCTCATTTTACAGATGAAGAATTGATAGTACAAAATAATTAATACTAGACTTCCTTGGTCATCCAGTGGTTAAGAATTTGTTGCCAAAGCAGGGGACACAGGTCAGATCCCTGGTCCAGGAGGATTCCACATGCCGTGGGACCACTCAGCTCATGTGCCACAACCACAAAGCCCACACTCCAGAGCCCATGCTTTGCAACAGGAGAAGCCACCGCAATAGGAAACCCGTACACGGCAACTAGAGAGTCGCCTCCGCTCACCGCAGCTAGAGAAAGCCCATGCACAGCAACAAAGACCCAGCACAGCCAAAAATTCATAAATAAAAATGTAAAAAATGATAAATACCTTGCCAAAAGTCACACGACTAGTAAGGAGGAAGCCAGAATTCAAATTCAGGCAACCCACACTTGTAAGCACCACCAACACGGACCCATTAGCTAACCATGTTCCATGGCAGAATCTATTAATAATCTTTTACCTACTATTAATCTTCAATAAGAGGCTTCCCTGGTGACTCAGATGATAAAGAATCTGCCTGCAACGCAGGTCCCAGGTTCAATCCCTGGATCAGCAAGATCTCCCTGGAGAAGGAAATGACAACCCATACCAGTTTTCTTGCCTGGAAAATCCCATGGACAGAGGAACCTAGCAGGTTGCAGTCCATGGAATTTGCAAACAGTCGGGCAAGACTGAGTGACTAACACTTTCACATTCAGTCCTTAATAATGGCCTAACATTTCTACTCCATGACTGATATAAATTAGGTTAGAAACTGAATTAGTTCAAAAATATTAAATTTAAAATGAAATGAATTCTACAAATAAATTGAAACTTGAAAAAAATTAAACCATAGCAAAGAGAGTAATTTAATCTCAATTTTCCCAGCAGTTGAACAAGTACTAAATAAATTTCCTTGACTCAGAAAACAAATGAAGTTGTTCATAATTTTCTCAAGGTCATAATAGGAACTCTGTAATATCTTTGTATTCAGAGATACAAACAAAACCCTAGATTTATTGAGAACAGATTCAAAGAGATTAGAAGTTAAAGTTGCCTTGAAACGTAAGTAGCTGCCAATCCTCCAAACTGTAATTAAGCCCTTAGATACAGAAAAAAGACTCATGTTTGCTGAAAGTCTTGCATGCTATAACTTTACTAATAGTAACTGTGGCAACTGTTATTGCCAGTCACTTCTCCTTCAAACTGGTCTCAAATTTTTTAAAATTTAAGATTTCATATATATATATATATGTGTATATATATATATATATATATATAACTATAGTTGCATTCATTTTCTTTTTTTTTTAATTTTTTTTATGCAGTATACATTTTATTACTTTGTACTAATGCATTCATATTACAAAGGCAACTTAATGGAAGAATGTTTCTTTAGATATTTGAATAATCCGAAAGAACACAAACAGAACTGCACATTAAAAAACTCATTTCGATAACAGAAGATAAGTTCAACAACAACAACAACAAAAAATCTTCCTTTCTTACAGGTAGACATCGAAGTGGATTTAATTTGGTTTTCTTTATAACAGCCTCCAAAGACAAAAGCAGCTTAAAATCTAATTAAAATGAATAAAAAATTTGTTTATTAAACTACTGGTCTTCGGCACCATTTTCTGTTTTCTGTTGTTTTGATGGAGGCTCTTCTTCATTGCTTTCTTCTCGTGCTCTTTTTACTGCTCCAGATGCACCATTTGCATCACGTTCATCATCACTATCAAATTTAGGTTTCTTGCCCTGAAACTGTACTCTTCCTTTAGCAGACCCAGCCTGGGCAGCTTTATTTCCCTTTCCTTTTCCTTTAAATCTGCGACCTTTTGACTTCCATTTGTTTAGAGATTCTTGTTGATCTTCTATTATTTTTTTCAGTGCTGCTTTTTCCACATCTCCTTCTAATACTTCCCAGGTGACTTCTTTGTTCCTTAGCTGTAGGTTACCATTATTGGCCTCTTTTGCTTTATCCAGTGCTTCCTTAGCTTTTTCTTTAAATAGAATTATTCCCTCCTTGGCTCCTCTGACAAAGTGTATCCATTTTATTTCACCATGATTTGAGAAAAGGGTGTGCAAATCTTCTCTACACGTCTGATCATCTAAGTCTCCTGAAAATTTCAGCAAGCAGCCAATCTTTTCTTCTAGAGATTTCATTTCAGCACTTTCTGCTAGCTTTTGTTTTTCTTCTTGCTCTTGTTTAGCTCGTAATTTAGCTTCCATTTTATTTTGCTTTCTTTCTTCATTTTTTTTGGTGAAGTAATCTTCCTTGAAAAGTATTAGCAGGTCTGTGTCTTTGTACTTCTGGCCAGGGGTCTCGACAAACTTTTTAGCTGATTCAATACTATCAAATACAGCAAATATTGAACCCTTAAATGCTTTGTGCAACGTTCTTCTCATCTGAATATTTCGTACTTGACCTTTATCTTCCAACCATTCTTTTATGTCATCAAGAGCTGCATCAGTTGGGAAGCCTTTAATATAAACAGATCTGTTTTTTTACATCATTTTTATACTCATCAGTCACTTCAGGGAGGGGTGTGCTGGGAGATCTTCTAATTTTAGTTTTATCTTCACTTATTTCCATGAGTTCTGCCTTTGATTTGCTCAGGGCCTCTACTATTACATTGAAGTCTGTCGTTAAACGGTTTAACCTATTAAACTTTATCATTATCTCCAAAGGAACCCAGCCTTCATCCAGTTTGATCTGTTCCTTTAAAAATTTGTCCCGTGGCAAATTGAAGTCTCCAAAATAATACTCAATTTGATGACAGATTTTGGCCTCCAGAGCAGCCATTTTTTCATTATCACCATTTTCAGCCATTCTGGCTATCTTGCAGTTCCTTGCCCCACAGAGACGCGCCACACGGTCACAGGCAGCGTCTGCACTCCTCTTAGTCGCCAGCTTGCCCACCGCGCGTAAAGATCTCATTTTCAATTCTAACAAATTTAGCAGTGCGAAACAACACAAATCTATAATCTTGCAGTTCTGGAGATGGAAACTTGGAAAGGGGTCTCACTGGACAATGCTCTCACAGCAGGACTGTGCTCCTTTCTAGACTCTCTAAAGGAGAAGTTGCTTCCTTGCTTTTGCCAGCTTCTACAAGCATTCCCTGGCTACTGGCCCTCTTCTGCCTTTAAAGACAGCATGGCAATTTGAGCCTTTCTCACATGGCATTCACTCTGAAAACCATTATTCTGCTCCTCTCTGAACATTTAATTAAGAACCCTTGTGATTACACTGGGCCCACCAGAATAATCCAGATTAATCTACCTATTTTATAAGCTAATCAGCAAACTTAATTCAATCTTCTATTTTAATCACCCTTTGCCACATAATGTAACCTATTCACAGATTCTGAAGACTAGAACAACTTTGAGAAGTCATTAGTTTGCCTGCCAATTTTAACATTCCATGTTAAACATGTTTAACATTCTATGGATAATTTGTGGTTTTATTTTGTACCTGTTGTTCAGCCACTCAATCATATCCAACTGTTTGTGACTCCATGTACTATAGCACTCCAGACTTCCCTACCCTTCACTATCTCCCAGAGCTTGCTCAAACTCATGTCCATTGAGTCAGTGATACCATCCAACCATTTCATCCTCTGTTGCCCCCTTCTCCTCCTTTCTCAGCATCAGAGTCTTTTCCAGTTAGTTGGCTCTTCCCATCAGGTCGCCAAAGTATTGGAGCTTCGGCTTCAGCATCAGTCCTTTCAATGAATATTCGGGGTTGATTTCCTTTAGAATTGACTGGTTTGAACTCCTTGTTGTCCAAGGGACTCTCAAGAATCTTCTCCAGCACCATTTCGAAAGCATCAATTCTTTGACCTTCTCTTTGATTCAACTCATGTCCATACATGACTACTGGAAAAGCCATAGCTATGACTAAACAGACCGTTGTCAGCAAAGTGACATCTCTGCTTTTTAATACACTGTCTAAGTTTGTCATAACTTTTCTTCTAAGGTGCAAGCATCTTTTAATTTCGTGACTGCAGTCACCATCCACAGTGATTTTGGAACCCAAGAAAATAAATTCTGTTACTGTTTCCACTTTTCCCCCATCTTGTACTGAATATGTGTAAATATCATCCCACAGAAAATAAAATGTTTCATGAAAGATTTCACTCTTTGAATACCACTTAAATTTTTCCTCATTAATTTTGTTCCTTTACCAATAAAATATGAGGATAATATGCATCTATCCTGTTTTGATTATATTAAACTAAGTTGCATCAGTTTTATTTCAACAAAATGATCTAATAAAGGTTAATATATTGGTGCTTTTCTATAATAATTGAGAATATGTTTAGAAGGAAATTGTTAGGTAAATAATTTCAATAGTTTTTTTCCTTTGGTCTAAGAGTTAGCAGTGTATGTTAAAATACACAATTTCATTAAAATCTCTTTGCTTTGTTTAGTTTTTAAGAGAATTTTAAATTTTTGAAATGCTAACTAAAATAGATTTACTTTAAAAACACAGAATTTATTTTTTAACAGTCCAAGTAAAAAGACTGTGAATTTCACATCTTGCAAAGTTATAATTTTCATCAGTTGAAGCACAGTTCACTTTCTAAACCTTTAGGATAAATGAAATGATCAAGAAATGAAATACCAAATCAATCTGATTGATCATGGGAATCCTTTTCAGATTGTGCAGTTTTGTTCTTTGACTTTAACCTTTACTGTTTTGGCTATTTTAACCAATCAGTTCCTATCCTCAAACCTACAATTTTATGCCTTAATGTTTCTGGGATTAAATTTTTTAAAGCCTTCATATTAGGCATCTTCTTACTTTTTGCTCTAGGGGAAGGGAATCTATATTATAACCATCTTTTCCTAGAAATTATTCTTTTAGGAAATCATTGAAAAGATCTTTTGAAAAATCTGAATCTCTAAATATGTCCTCAATGAAACTAAATTTCTTAAGTGGTAAAAGTTGGGGCCAAAATTTCCCCCAAGAAAATATTTACTCTTTGTATACATAAGGAAATATTTCCCTAAAGACTGTTCTCAGATTGTCTATAAATTTAGGTCAGCAATGAGAATATGAACTGACAGCTAAAGAATGCAAAGGTTACTGAGTCAAATTCTTATTCCCTCATATACATCACATGACAAAGATTTTAAAACTTTGTGGGGTTTCTGCCTTTAGAACTCAGTTTTATAATATCTTGAAAAGTTAGTAACTGAGTATTTCTAAAGCTTTTGTCTTGATATTCTAAAGATTAATGATTATTTACATAGACAGCCTTAAAACTAAAAATATTCCACTAGATTAGTAACAATTGTGTTAATAGTACCATTGTTGTTTAATATGAAAGGGTAATAAACTAAAAATTTAGGGATATTATATTGTAGTTGAGAGGGAGGTTAGTAGCTCTATCTTTTAAAAAATTAGAGAATTAAATTGCATCAGACAGTAAAACTTCCAACGCTATTGTTTGTAACATATTTCTAGAATAACCTACTGGTCATGAGGTATGGAGGCTTCCCAAATGGCTCAGTGGTAAAGAATTCACCTGCCAAGCAGGAGATGCAAGCTCAATCCTAGGGTCAGGAAGATCCCCTGGAAATGGAAAAGGCAACCTATTCCAGTATTCTTGCCTGGGAAATCCCATGAACAGAGGAGCCTGGCAGGCTACAATCCATGGGGTCACAAAGAGGTGGACAGAATTTAGCAACTGAACAACAACAAAATGAGGTATAAGAATTTATAGCATTTTCTCTAAACCCAGGTACATTCTATTTACACGCTATTTACAATATTTCAGTAGTCTACCAATTCATTATAGCAAAAAAACCTTATCTTACCTTTCCCTGTTTATTTCCTCATGAACACCACAGACCACATTAGATGCATCCCTGCCAAAAGAACTATTTGGTACTTAAATAGGATATTTTTTAATTATTAAAGTCAGAACTCACATATAGTATTCTCACTTGGTCTAGCAAACCATTAAATATTCAATATTATGTTCCTGCTCTAATCACTTGTGGTAGTTATCAATAGCACAGCAAGGAGAAGGGTTTTAAAGAAGAATCCAGGCTTAATAGGTTAGTACTTGGTACTTAGCAATTTTTATCATGGCTGTAAGAGAATCACTAGAGGCGGGTCTGCTACAGATCTAGAACAGAAACCAATGCCAAAGTATCAGATATATTACCTTGTTTCTAACAGCAAAGAAATGTGAAATACTTGGCTTAATGATAACGGTAATATAAAAACATTTCAAGGGAAGTTAAATTCCATTATCCCTACCACATAATTGATAAAATAATTAGATATGCACTTATCCACACAAAAATTTATTTTGTCAAATGGTTGAGTGACAGTTGTATGCAAGGCACTGTGCTGGTACCATAGAGAGTACAGATAGAGAAGAAATTCTGCGGTCAAGTATAGAAAGTAAACCTGAAGTCAGGCTGACATGTATTATGAGTGTTATGTGCACACATTCAGATAGGACGAATGTGCAACCACATGAGACAGAAACTAATACATAGTATAGCTGAAAAACAATGATTACAGGAGTTTGGAGTCACAAATTTTAGAATATTGTTAAATAAAATATTCTGACATAATAGTCAAAATAAATGAATTTACCTACCAGAGGAATGAGAGTTTGAGGGGCTACAAAATGGCAAAGTCTCTGAAGCCTGAGAAGAAAGGTGACAATACATCACGAATAGGAACACAGAGAGCCGACCAAGCAGAGGAAAGCATCAGGCGCCCTGTGGGCGTGTGGGGTGAGGAAGGGGAGCACGGCCAGCCCGGTGCTGAGCCGGAGCTAGCTGCGCACCTTGACGAAGTCTCATGGGGGTTAAGGGGCTTTCTGGGAGAGGACAGCAGAAGGCACAGTGGTTTTCACCGCCGATGAGAGACCTGGAGTGAACAGAGCCAAAGGGAGCCGGGTGTCCAGTCTCCAGGAGGTGAGTTTCAAACCTCTCAGTTGAATGAAAGGGCAAGCCAAGGGCCCGCAACATACAGAAACACAATGAGCAAGAGGCTTGAAGGCAGCTGGTACCTATAAATGTGCAACCCAAGGGAAAACTGGATCTATCCAATATGCAAGTAGGCAAATGATGAATATGTAAATGGTTATGAATGCTAACAAAATGTTATTGATTGGAATTTGAAGCCCCAGAAACTGATTCTTCAAAGGTTTCAAGATGACCATAATGCAATCTGGCTTTTAGTTCACATTTCACTACAGTCTTTATCTGTTGGAAAAAATAACTACCTATATAACAGAGTGAATCCAACTTAAGAAAACCCAACAAGATTTCACAGAGGAGGCTATTCTCCTATATTCTCCATCCTAATAAACTGCTCTGATGCTTTTCTCATTTTCTGCCCAAATATAAACATCCACTCTCTTCTGAGCTGCAGCTCATGTATCTTAAGACCCTCCATCTGTGGGTAGAGATGTGGAAAGATCTAGCCAGACTTTCTCCTCCTGCTGCATTCCACATATGAATTAATGGTACCACCACTTCTCTGCTGTCATTTTTAAATTACAAGGCTCTTTCTCGGCCTCTCAAAACCCACTGTCACTAATTGTACCTCCATGTCTTCCCCTAGCAACAAATGCCCTCGCCACTGAACTGCTTCCCCTGGACACCTTACACAAAGCATTCTCTCTAACCTCATCTATTTCAGAGTATATGTAAACCTCTTAGTTCATATCCACATCTCCTTCATTCCCCAAAGTCCCTTTCCAACAATTATCATCCCCATTCAAGTGTAAAATTCTCTACGTCTGTGAGTCTGGTCCTATTTTTCTGTACATTTTTTAGTCAGCATGTGTGAATTGTTTATACCACATTTATTCCTCCTGTCACAGTCCTTGCTAATTACAAGCCAATTTTTTCAATATACACCTATGTTTCATTTATCTTGTGTGTTTTTGAAAAACTGACATTAGCTCTACCTTCAGAATTAGTGCATGC